CAAGTGTACAAACACCTTCAATGCAAGAGAAGCAGAGGGGGCATTGTAAGACCCCGCTTTACTGGCCCACTGGCACTGAAGGAGTTAAGAGCAAATTCGAGGTAACGTATAGAAAATAAACCATGCGATTAAGGCTCAAATTATCCTCCGTTAAAACCGTCTTTTAAAAAGGCATTAAGTAGGTAATACTGAGTTTAAGTACTTAATAAATACAATTTTCAGAAAAGAAAAAAAAAAAAAAAAAAAAAAAAAAAAAAAAAAATATATATTTTTTTAACTTATGGTAAACGTGCTATGCACAGTTGTTGATGGCGAGCGAACGTGACCCGCCATCTCTGAGCGTTCGATGACATGTATGGCAAATGTGCTGTTGTGCAGACAGGTTTATCACGGCTCAGATCTGCAACCTGGGCTGTAAATTCTTCAAAGCCGAAGCTGTGCAAATTTCCTCTGAGTTATCTGTGGAGACACAAGAGAGAAAACCAGGTCATATAAACGTCACACGTTATCAATACAATAATTAGGGAGAACAATATCCTGAAAGCCCAACCCCTGCCAAAACTTTTGTTTGGATAAAGTCGGGAGAACTAGAACTTCTCTTTTTATATTTGCTGACCATGTCCCCATTTGGGAGATATTTGCTCACTTCCTGTGCAGGAGAGGAGTGTCAGGTGCAACAGGAAGTGAGGGTATATCTCTTCATTGGAGAAACCAGTAGGGTTTGAAGGCTGTGACACACTTCAGGCAAAGCGATGCGAAGAGATGCAAAGAGAAGCTAGAAAAATAAGCAACCTTAACTTCGTGCTGCACCGCCCCGTAGCTCGTCTACACCGCCGTCTGTACTGTCGTTTTTCATGGTTACCTCTACAAGCATCTGTGGGATGTGCTGGAAAAAAGTCCGATCCATGGAGCTTACAAGTCCGATCCATGGAGCTTACAAGTCCGATCCATGGAGCTTACAAGTCCGATCCATGGAGCTTACAAGTCCGATCCATGGAGCTTACAAGTCCGATCCATGGAGCTTACAAGTCCGATCCATGGAGCTTACAAGTCCGATCCATGGAGCTTACAAGTCCGATAGGAGATATTTGCTCACTTCCTGTGCAGGAGAGGAGTGTCAGGTGCAACAGGAAGTGAGGGTATATCTCTTCATTGGAGAAACCAGTAGGGTTTGAAGGCTGTGACACACTTCAGGCAAAGCGATGCGAAGAGATGCAAAGAGAAGCTAGAAAAATAAGCAACCTTAACTTCGTGCTGCACCGCCCCGTAGCTCGTCTACACCGCCGTCTGTACTGTCGTTTTTCATGGTTACCTCTACAAGCATCTGTGGGATGTGCTGGAAAAAAGTCCGATCCATGGAGCTTACAAGTCCGATCCATGGAGCTTACAAGTCCGATCCATGGAGCTTACAAGTCCGATCCATGGAGCTTACAAGTCCGATACCGGCTCTATGTATTGGGAAAAGTATATTTTAGTCCACCAATACTTCTTATGTAAGTGCATGTTTTTGTCTTTGTGTACCTTAAACAGCAGTTTGACTTACCTTACTCCTCGTTCCTGCATGCTACTCCTTTGTCAAATAAGTATCCAGACCATACAACGAGTCGCTAAGCTGGCCATACACCTATAGATTATCTGCAGATCGGCCCCGCTGGCTCTCAAAATACCTGAACAATGCCTGCATCCAACCAGATTGTTCAAGCATTTTGACAGCCAGCGGGGCTGACTAGCAATATACTGAAGCTTGGCCCAGTGGGAGATTCCCCCATCCACACTATTTAGCGTAGATGGAGGAATATGACCATAGAAAATCTGCAGATAATCTATAGGTGTATGGCCAGCTTTACAGACATACAATTTTATACAAAAAAAATAGAATTACTTTCGTTAATAAGTATACTTGTGTATGAAAATTATTTCATCATATTAGATAACAAATTCATCATGGGTCCAGGGACAGGTTATTGTGTTACTATACATATCTGTTGGAAAATATGACCAACTTTCATACTTCCATTGAAGGCCGCTGCGCCTCCCAGCTTGAATAAAACACATTTGTTTTTCTTTTTTTTCATAAAACAAATAGTTTTCTTTTATATTAGATGTACTTTATCTAGGGCTGCAATGAACGATTATTTCATAATTGAGTAGTTGGCCAAATATATCGGATTAACAAAAAAAAAAAATGAAATGCCATCTTTTATTTAAAATAAAAAACCATAAAAACACAAATAGTGTTACAAACAAAAAAAGTTACTCAGAATAAAACTGCATGCACCATGTTTTGGAACAGACAGCATTGCGGTACCGCACATTCCAGTGCAGGTGATTTTGGGGTGCCATTGAAGTGAATAGCACCACAACGTACCTCCCGCAGCAGGTCGAAACTGAAAATTACTTTTTCCTGCCTTTTCTAATTGTAATAATTGTATGTAATGTATTATATTAGACTTTTAATTAGTTTGATGGATGGTAAACCTGACTTGTGTTTTCCCTACTAGGTGTGTGTTTGGGTGGGGGGGGGACACAAGCCCCCCTATGTGATAGCACATTGGAGGCGACAGGTTCCTTTTAAAGTGACATTGGGGGAGTCACCTTTCCACTTCAAGAAAGCTATTCAAGTGCACATCTCGCTTGAATAGCTTCAGGCAGGGAATGACAGCTGCTGGCAGCAACATTTCACAGCAGGCAGCTGAGTGTAAACATAGCAGGCTGTGGGCAGATGCAATAGCCAGCCTGCTATAGGCCATGGCAATCTGAAATAGCCAATAGCAGGCTGGTTATTGCACCTGCCCACTGCCTGCTTCAAAATCAGCAGAGGAGCGGATCTTAAGGAGAACTTTCTCCTTCAAGTCCCTTCTCTGCTGACTGACAGCAGGCAGTGGGCGAGTGCTATGACTGAGGTTTGGTGAAGCTCTCCTCCATGCTGGGCACCGGCTGCAGGAATCTGTGTCCCCTCCAATCTCTGCAGGGAGCAGTGGGGATTCGGAGGGGACACAGAGCCGATGAACAACCGGCTCCCAGCGCAGAGGAGAGAACTAAGGGATCCAGACCAACTAATCAATGAGAATCGTTAATGATTCTCATAATCGATTGGCTGGTTGCAGACCTGGTTAATTGTTTTTTTTCATAAATCCTTTTTATCACATTGACTGTACTGTATCGATAACATTCTTTGATCCTGAAGAAGCAATTTATATAAAAATCGCTAAACGTGTATATTTAGGAGTTATGGAAGCTGTTAACGATACATACATATGGATATGTATGGTAACATGATGAGATAAATAAGAGGTCTCTGGAACCATGATGAATTTATCCTATATAATCAAATCATTTTAAACACACAATACTAGTAATGATGAATGCAATAACATTGTATGCTCTGGACACCAAGTCCCATTATTTAACTTTTGGTTCTTTAGACAGAGACAGACACATACACACACGTGTAAAAGTGCTCCCGATTTTTTTTTCAATTGTTGAATGTTATTTATTTTTTTACTTTACTTTACTATTAGTGACTTTGGTGAAATATCAGGAGGTCTCAACACACGCCTAATATTTCCCTTTTGGGGGAAGAACAAAAAAAAAAAAACAGTCCTCAATTAATTTTTCTGCAGCCCAGCCCTCAATGAACAGGAGGCTTCCTGTTCATTCATAAATCGAGGAGATAGTAAACAGATACCATTTCCACAATCAAAAATAAAACAGGAAGTGATATAGATCACTTCCTGTTCATTCATAATTGAGGACACAGTATCTGAATACTATGTCCTCAGTTATTTACAATCATTGTAGTGATCAGTACTGAAAAGCAAAGCTAATGTGGTGGGGAAGGGTTTGTGGCAGCTCTCCCCACCGCTGGGCACCAGCCGCAGGGGAGCAGCGGGGGAATCAGTGCCGATGAAACACCGGCTCCCAGCACGGAGAGAACTAGGTGATCCAGACAAACTATTCAATTAGAATAATTGATAACAATTTTCATCATCAATTAATCGATTAGTTGGTTTCAGCCCTACTAGAGACACTAGTGGAGACTGATGGAGATCACTATTATAGCCAAACCATTTTTCACTTTCTTGCTCCCTACAGCCACCTTAAAGGATAAGTTTACCTTTTGCCAAAATGTAAGGAAATGCATATTTAATATAAAAAAAATAAAAATGCTTTTCTTTAATTTTTTTCATTCAAGGCTGGAAAGCATTGCGATCACTCGATCAGGGCCGCGAATTCAGGCTTCTGCACATTCTCTACCAGGCAGAGCTCGTACTGAGGTACGGAGTTTTAGTTAGGAGAGATACAGAGTCCCGCCCTCCTCTCTCTGGTTAGATGCAGTAGAGCTGTCCTTATTCCCGTCCAGCCGTCCTTCCCCATCTCTCCTAAGTACAGAGTAACCTCAGTATGGCGCTCTGCCTGTATGAGAATGGGCTGAAGCCTGAGCTATGCAGCCCTGATCGAGTACTCACATTTGCAATACTTCCTATGCTTCAATGCAAAAATGAAAGAAATGCATTTTTGTATTTTATATTATCAAATATGTATTTCTTTAATTTTTGCAAAAGATGGACTTAGCCTTTAGGGCTAGTTGAATCCAGCCACAGTGCGTTCCAGCCCAATAGGGGCCGGAACGCACTGAAACGCATTGTGGCAGTCTCACTTTGTGTTGGGGCGTGGAAGTGCATTGAACTCAATGGCATCGCAGCCCTGCCCTCCGGCTGCAGTGCGATCGGCTGCACGGGAATGTGTGGCACATCAGTGCCTGCGTTACGGTCAGAAAATGCACTATTTTTCTGACCGGAACGCAGGCACACATGCGCCACTCGTTCCTGTGCTGCCGATCAATCGGGCCAGAATGCACTGTGGCTGGTGTGAACTAGCCCTTCGAATATAATTGTGTCATATTTGTTATTTCTCTCTGCAAAATTGTTTATTAGTTCAGAGGAGAGAAGAATACAAAACAGAAGAGGGACGGAAAGCACAGAAAAACAATTGTGTGTGAAGGGAATAATCAATGCAATTAAGTTCTACAAGTCAGAGAATATTTTTCTTTCGCTGGTTTCAGTAAGCATCAACTGGCCACAGGTTGGGCGTCCAAGGTTTAGGGGATTGGATGCTGAGGGCATTTCTACACAAATAAACGTGCAGAAAGGCATGGCACCGACCTGCTCTTTTATGGCCACGTTTGAGGTCCCTCCGAGTGTCTCATTGAACAGTGCACGTTGTACAACACTGATCCTGCTTCTCAGGCAGAGATGCATAGTTCATTTGCCTGACGATCTCCGCAAACAGTTCGTCCACCATAGTCTTGCTCTTGGCAGATGTCTCCATAAAAGGGCAGCCCCATTCTTGAGCTAGAGAGCGGCCCTCTGTAGACACAACTTCTCGCTCAGACTCCAGGTCAACCTTGTTCCCAACCAGAATGAGGGGTACCTTCTCATATCGCTTTACTCTGACTATTTGGTCCCGCATTGGCTTGATATCCTTGTTAAAAACAAGAAGCAAATCAGTTAAAGAGTTCATACACCATAGTTTACAATCAAAAATTGTTTCTATTGCGTTCAAAATGTGGACCTCTCACTATAAAATAGTTATTGACAAATCTAACTAAGTAAAAACATTTGTGTACACAGCTAAGGCTAGGTTCACACCTAGGAGACAGCTCACCACACGGCGCAGTCAGGAGTCGCCAAGGTGTGAACCAATCACACTGTGGGTGCCATTATTTTCTAAAGGCACCCCAGTCGCCGCAGGCGGATCGCACGGTTCCCCGCCTCATTTCCGCACGTGCTTCTGAACACCGCGTGTCATGTATTGCACAAAGAAGGTACATGTTGAAATCAAAAGGGGCCGCGCGGCAATCACAGACTGCATTGTACAGTTACTTGCCTTGTCATCGTGCTCGTCAACTGGGTCCAATGATTTCAGGCACCCAAAATAAGTGTGCCAATTAGGATTTAGGACTTTGTCTCCGTTCCAAAACAAGGAGATAACAAAGTACTAAAAATGGAGGATCAGCACGACAGGCAAGGAATTATCACACTCAACAGAAAGAAAGCAATGGCCGTCTATTGATAGGGGGCTCCGTTATGGTGGACTATTAAACAAGGAACTTCACCCTTACCTTAAGGTCTCGTTTAGAGCTGCAGCTAACGATTATTTTCAAAATCGATTAGTTAGTAGCGGTGAGCGTGAGGTGGGGAGGAGGTGTGGCACGCAGTGTGTGTGGAGCCGTGAACAGGGCCAACCAATCGGAAGCCGATTAATCGATGATTGAAAAAGTTGTCAACTTTTTCAATAATCGATTATAATCGATTATGTCGATTAGTTGTTGCAGCTCTAGTCTCGTTCACACCTAGGCTGGTGTGAACGGTAAAAAAGTCGCGCGACCGTCGCGTGTTTCCGAAGGCTACTTGGCTGTATCCCAATGGAAACGCGCAACAAAATGGCCCAAAGTAGTACATGTACCTTTTCAGGCGTGGACCGTTTTGTAGCGCGTTAGGGACGGGCGGAAATACGCCAAGGTGGGAACGAGACCATTGAATACAACAGGATTGATATTTTTGAGCGTTTTGTAGGGCGTTCGTCGAGCGTAGAACGCGCTACAAAACGTTCAGGTGTGAACGAGGGCTAAAAATGACAACAAAGGCATCTTCAGAAATGTTTTGTAATGACAAGCAGATTTTTATAGATAATTGCCAGGTTTTTATTCTTTGCATACCTCCCCCCCCCACCATTCTTTTCACAGTATCCATTGTTACTAGGGACAAATTAATAGGTCTCTCTACCTCCTGGAACTATGGCACATGTGACCATACACATGGGGGGGGGGGTTAGGGGAATGCCTTTCCCTGATATCTCATGAGATTTTGAGGTTACAAATGAGATTTCCCAGCAATGCCCAGTGATGTAACCTTCCCAGGATGCATCTCTTGCTACATCACCAATGCCTAAGAGGACCAGGAAGTGGAAAAACAGTAATTACATTACAGGATTTTACATTACAGAACATTACAGAATTTTATATCAGTATGCAGAGCTGCATGCTTAAGTAATTCTAGTCAAAGGGGGTAAGAGTCCACTTTAAGCAATACATTCCACCATCATACCCGTCCTCTGCACCCCATTCCACCATCATACCCGTCCTCTCTATTCCTGCATCATACCCATCCTCTCCAATAACACCAGCTATAGAGGAATACATCAGATCCCAGCAATTTACACATTATAGTATAATGTACTATTGCTGCGATTTGCTGCATTCCGCTATAGCTGCTGGTATTCTGCACTGTGCCGCTTTATAATGTACTATATTGCACACCACCCTTTTTTTTTTTACTTCCACCGCTCCAAGCTTGCTCCCGTGATGGACTACAATCTCAATACAAACTAGTAGTCCATCACTGGAGACTTTTTTTTAAATCCGATTAATCGAACTTAATAATCGGCTAACTAATCGATTATGAAAATAATCGTTAGCTGCAGCTCTATACAGCAATGTGCAATGAAGCCAGTCTCACATGATAAGTGTTAGAAGGCAGAACCGGAAAAACTGCAGATAAGTAATTATGCTCGTTAAGCACACATTCAAATCATGCATTGCAGTAATTTTAGCAATGCAGCAAACCACAATGCATATCAGCATCCTGCTGTGCGCTATTACACAGGTACATATTTTTTTTTTTACTATATACGCACGTTGGGGTGCCCTTCAGACTACAAAGCATAAATATCTATGCATGTGTTGTGGTAACGCATGTTAAAGGTGCATTACCAAAGAGTACTAGTCTGAATAGGCCATCGTCCGTGAGCAGGCGACACAGCAAACCTGCTGCAGTGGGAAAGTAGTGGTGTCAACCTGCTAGCCCTTCACTGAGGCACAGGTGACTCAGACTATGTAAACAGGTAAATATGGTAAATATGGTAAGGTATCTATTCAGCTTGTTGACTTGAATTCTGCTTTAAAGCTTAGACATGGTCAGACACCCCCCCTCTTCCTATATCCAGGGAAACAAACGCACAATAAGTCTGAAGACCAAGAACGGAGAAATCTAAACTGCTAAATTCACACACCCCTGTCCTCCATAGCGTGCACAAAGATATGACAACACAGATTTTGTCATGGGTGGTACTTGCTCAGATACTGGAGTGCAGGAGGGTGCACTCTCCCTACACCCAGAGAGGGGATGTTTACAAATGCTCCAGCACCAGAATATGTCACAGTGCAGGTACGATCTGACATCTTGGGATACCTGTTCTTCCACAGCGGCCTTCGTTTACAGTTCAGGTCTAATATAACGCACATAATTGCTCTATACACTTGAAGTGGGAAGAAACAGGTTTGTACAGATAAGAGTAACAATCTACAATTGCTTACAGAATCATCACTGCGTGTTTATGAATCAGAATACACCAGGCATGGCCTGAAAAGCAATGTTTTATGTGCGTCACAGGAGGTGGCAGGCCAAGCACCGATCCAATGGCTGAAGCCAAGATTTGCATTACAAAGCACCACTGAACCCCAATGAGCATGTACCCGAAATTGCCTGCAAATGCATCAAAGTGACAGGAAGTCATTGAGTCTCCAATACAGGTACACTTTAAATCTGTCCAGAGCCTTTCATCACAAACTATTACAGTCAGCTCTGTGAGAAGCAATACTGACTCACTGCTAATGTACCAGAGAGGTCATCAACTGAGGCATTTGTACCACCAACTACAGTCATAAACAGATGATTTCCGACACCAAGTTTTATAGAAAAGATGAACTTTAGCACAAACCAAACCGAGGTAACATGTGACAGCAGTTTTGCGAGCGTCAGAAGGATGTTTCACAATAGACAACTGCAGATGAAAATGATTCATAGAGAAGTGTCATGTGTTAAATAGGTCATGCAACCATTACAGTTTAAAAATACTTCACACTATATATTTGGGCTAATCAACACTTTTTTTTTACTGGTATGGGTCAGGAGAAGCCAAATCTAGAAAACTAGGTATTCAGATGAGACCCCATCAAGAGGCCCCAAGACAAATATTCAGTGTACTTATTGACTGTAATAGTGTGAACCAAATATGAATGAGGATGCCTCTGCCCTCAACAAGCCCTAGGATTCTTCATATGAATAGAAAATCCCTCGACATCTGGTGACATGTAGACTAGTGAGAGACACCAATAAGTAGGTGTGCAACATGAAAGAGCAGCTGCGAGGCCTTTCTTGTTCAAGCAGCCAAACTGGGAAAACCATATTTTTTTTAACACAAACCCCAGTCTGCATTGATCTGCATTGAAGCAATGGTCTGATTTCTCATTGAAAATTAAAAACTACCTCAAAAGCAATTGACAATTTTGGTTAACTAAAAATGATAAGTAAAAAGGAAACCAGGGTGGGCAGGAAGCCAGCTGTCCAGGAACACTCAAGCTTCCTTCATTACCCTTTACACAAGGAGAACATCTTTATATGTTTGCTGCCCTTGCCTAGGAAACTCAGTGATTTCAAAAGGACTAGCCAACTTGAATTTGCTTCCATGTGCCTGCACACTGGCACTCAATACGGTTGCTGTAGTCCACAACCCCATCTATAAAGGTAATATGGCTGGAGTTCATGCTCACCTGGAATGACTGCTGATTCACCAAGCTATACACTAAGATGAAGCCCTGCCCGTTCTTAATGTATAAATCCCTCATGGAGGCAAACTGCTCTGTGCCAGCTGTATCCAGGATCTCCAGTACGGATGGCGAAGAGTCCACTTCAATCTCCTTCCGGTAAAAATCCTCAATGGTGGGGTCATACTTCTCAATAAAGGTGCCTGTAACAAACTGTACAGTCAAGGCTGACTTCCCAACCCCTCCGCTGCCCAACACCACCACTTTGTACTCCCTCATGGACCCAGAGAGGAAGAGTCAATCTGCACATGCACTGCAACACGACAGCAGGAGGAGAGGCGTTAATGTGATGGATGGAGTTTCAAGGAGGTCATATCCTCTGTCAGTTAATAGTGTCCACCGGAGGGTTTGTCTTCAGAGACTACAGCGTCCCAATGTTTAGCGGATGAGTCCTTCCAGAGCAATACAAGGACAGCAACTCAGTCTCAATCTCTCCAGACTCCTGTAAATGTTTAACAACAAAAAAGAGAACATTATTCCCAAAGAAACAATATAAGAACCACAAGACTAAATAACTCCAAGCAGCAAAACATACTGGTGCCTAAGATGGCTTCTTTGGTTCCTGCAAAATGATCAGGTAATAAATCACTTACTTCGGCTGCAAAGGTCTCACCACTCACTGCAATTGTCTCCCAACAGTCACTGACTCACTTGCTGGGGTTCTGACTTTACTTGCTGGGGTTCTGACTTTACTTGCTGGGGTTCTGACTTTACTTGCTGCATTCTTCTTCGGAGCAGTGATTTACAATGAACTGAAGTTGGAGTTTACTTACAGCAGTAATACAGAGTTACTTTGGATACAGGACGGTGCAGACAATCCGCTACAATTCTATGAACCCCTAGCAACCTCTGCAGGAAGCCTAGCGTTCCACAGAACCCCGGTTATAAATGGCTGCACAGTTCCAAATGGTACCTAAAGTCAGCAGCATAGGCAGAGGAATTTTTAGGGCTGCAACAACTAATTGATTAGATTATGAGAATAGTTGGCAACTATTCTCATTATCGGTGGAGAGATTATTTCAATGCAACCAATCGATTCCTTGAAAAAACTTAAATCGGGCAACTGATGAAAATAATCGTTAGCTGTAGCCCTAGGCATTTTTGCCATTGTTACCAGATTCATTGGTTTGAGGAAGGATTCTCCAAGACGTGAACATTTTAGTGGTTCCTCTGGGCTAAAAAGGTTGAGAAATGCTGGTCTCTAGCGTCAACATTATAACACCTGAGTGACAAAAGAGGCCAGTTCCTTGAAATACTTTAACAGTCACTGCAGTTGCAAAAAAACCCCCAAAACAACCCTTACATATAACTGTTAGCATTGAGGTAAAAGCAACTAAACTGCCTTTTACTAACCTGTAGGCGACGAGAGAGATTGCTGAATGATAACAAACCACAGCCTATTAAGAATTGTCGTGTAGTTCTGGGCAGACACATCAATAAATGGGATAATTACAGAGTAGTACACGTGTTAAATTTTGGGTTCTATCCGCTTCCATGGTTGCACACCTCACAGTTTTATCTAGTCCATCTTAATTAATACATGTACCAAATCGCAGAGTCATCTCAACACTCTACATCTTCACCACACCCAAACCACAGCCATCGACACTTGCTTGATCTCAATCCCCTGCTCAAGAACAACATCGCTGCTGAAAAGGATGATGCTTATCTAGTGCACATCAGTTGGTTTTCTGCCTTGCAGAAAGAAACAAAAAAAAGGCTAATGATTTACAAACATAACATCCGTATTGATTCTGAGGACTTGGTCACCCCGTACTTTCCATAAGTCCCCCTGGAACTCCGGGGGGGGGGGGGGAA